AAAAAAAAAAAAGAAATATTAGCAACTTATTTAAAATATCTATTGTGCACCTGTCTGTCTTGTTCACTTTGTGGAATATCCTGCCTTCCCTTCAGGAAGGATATAGTACAGTGCTTTTATGCTTTATCTTTTAGTCCCACGTCGCTTTTGTGAAACAAAATCTCACCAGAAATGTCCAGTGTGTTGAACAGACGTAAGAGTGAGCTGTTTTAATGGAACAGATGACCTGGAACTATGTCCACACTGCCTTCCTCCATTCTGCAGGGAGACTCCAAGGAGCTCAGGGCCCTGTGTACAAAGGTCTAGCCCAGTGGTTGTCAAAGGGAGGTCCCCGCACCAGCAGTACAGTTTGAGAGATGCAAAGTCTCAGGCCTCACCCTAAATCTATTGAATCAAAACCTCTGGGAGTGAGACCTACAATCCATCCTTTAACAAACCCTCCAAGTGATCTGATGCCCAGAAATGGGAGTGACTTGCCTTATGTCATTTGGGGAGTTCAGGGGGATTCAATTGTTGAGTGCCTAATGTGTGTAAAGTTGTAGAGTATATGCTGTAGGGGATACCAAGAGTTACATCAATGCATTAGTTATCTGTTGCCGTGTAACAAATTAGCCCAGAGTTTCACAACTTCAATAACAGGGTCATGAATCTGGGTGCAGCTTTGTGGGTTCCTTTACTTCAGGGTCTCTCACAAGGCTACAGTCAAGGTGTAGGCCAGGGCCTCGGTCATCTCAAGATTCTGCTGGGGCAGGGTCCACTTCTAAGTTCACTCAGTCGCTGTTGGTAAGATTCAGATCCTTACAGGTGGGTTGGCTGACAGCCTGGTTCCTCACTGGCTGTTGGCCTAAGGTTGCCCTCAATTCCTTGCCACATGGGCCTCTCCAAAGGGCAGCTGGCTTCCTCAAAGTGAGCAAGCAAATGAGAGCGAGAGAGGGGGTGCCCAAGACAGAAGTCATAGTTGTTTGTAACATTTTGGGAGTGGCTTGTGGTCCGTTCTGTTCATGAAATGAGTCATGAAGTCTAGCCCACCCTGAAGAGGCGGGGATTATACAAGAGCAGGAGGTGGGGGATCTTCCAAGATACCACCATCCCTTCTTCTGCCCTTTTGTTTACAATTGTGGCATCAGATACGTACACGCCTGACTGTGGAATCAGCCAGAGAAGGACCGTGGTCATAGGGGTGAGCACAAGTTCAGTGGTGGTTCAGAGAAAAGTAAAAGTCTCTGAGAGGAAGAATCAGGAAGGCTTCTTGGAGGACACAGCATTATCAAAGGACCTTGAAGAAATGGAGGATATGCCTCTGGCACAAAGGGGAAGGCCAGGTGGAGGACAGAGCATAGGCAAAGGCAGTGAGGTGGGGAAGTGAAGGGCCCGCTCAGGTGTCCAGGTATCAAAACCTTACAACTTGGGTGGAGCCTGGATAGAGGTAGGGAGAAGAAAGCTGACAGTGGAGATTGGACCCATAGGGTGGATGGTTTCCATTGTTAGAGATGGAAGAGGTCTCACCCTTGCTGGGGGGTGGGGATGGGGGCCATGAGGTGGGATAGGCATGGCTTCCATTACTGCTGGGGCCAAGACTGAGGGGCTCTGAGCTCAGTGCTCTCCCCTGCCCCACCAGCCTGGCCCTGAGGTCCATGCCCCGTTTTCTGTTGCAGTTTGGACGCACTGAAGTCATTGACAACACACTCAATCCTGACTTTGTGCGCAAATTCATCGTGGATTACTTCTTTGAGGAGAAGCAGAACCTCCGTTTTGACTTGTAAGTGGAAGATGGTGCTGAGGCTGGGGCTTGGGGAGGAACCACCGACGGGAGGTGGGACTGTAGGACCGGGGTTGGTAGTAGCTCCCCTTACCAGAGAAGGGGAGGGGCCAATGATAGTAGAGGGAGCTCAGGGTTGGCCTGGAATAAAAGTGACGATTAGCTGAAGTCTAGCCCCGCCTCCATCAGGAGATGGAAAAGAGGTGAGGAGAGAGAACAGAGGCTCCCCACCATTTGTCTCAGCTACGTGGGGGACCCTGAACAAGCCCTGACTCTAGGGGCCAGTTGAGGAAAGCTCTTGGGGGCAAGCTCTAAATCCACCTCCAGGGAGCCTTTTTCTCCGCAGCTGCCAGGGCGGTCCCCATTGACCACTCCCTCTGTCAGAGCTTGTTTGAGGAGAGGGTACCCCCCAGTCTCCCCTCCTGCAGAGGTAACCTGGCTGATGGGGCTCAGAGCATGTGCATGTGTCTCGCAAAGGAGCCGAGTGCCCCTCTGCTGAGGTTAAAGATGATGACAGGAGGAACATTGTTTTGTTGTTTTTCCAAGGCGTGGGGTGGTTAGAAAGGACCGTGTCGCAGAGAATTTTGTGGACAAGGTGGACAGAAAGGGGGTTGGGGGCTTGAAGGAGCAAAGGAAAAAAAAATACAGTGGAAGGAAATGACTTTTCAGGGACTGATGGAGGGCTTGCAGCCCATTGTCGAGAAGTCACCATTTGGGGACATTTTGGAGAGAGAAGGTGCTCAGGGTAGGGGGAGAGTGAGAATGAGTGCCCTCAGCAGAAGGCATCTGGGCCTGGATGGCCTGGTGACTGGAGAAGAGGGCTGCAGGTATGGCTCCGGATAAAGGGAGGTACCCAGCTGCAGGGGAGAGGTGAAGGTGTTGAGTGCATCCCTCGTTCTTGAGTGACAAGACCCAAGGTCAGGCTGGGCCCCCCTGAGCAAGGTGACGCAGTCGGGGAAGGTCAAAGGCCAGGTCCTGAGCTCCTTTCAACGTTTATTTTTATTTTTGGGACAGAGAGAGAGACAGAGCATGAACGGGGGAGGGGCAGAGAGAGAGAGGGAGACACAGAATCGGAAACAGGCTTCAGGCTCTGAGCCATCAGCCCAGAGCCCGACGCGGGGCTCGAACTCACGGACCGCGAGATCGTGACCTGGCTGAAGTCGGACGCTTAACCGACTGCGCCACCCAGGCGCCCCCTGAGCTCCTTTCAAGGGCAGCCGAGCCTCAGCCGGGAAGATGGGAGAACAGGCAGAGAAGGGCAAGGTGGCCCAGCCACCTGTGAACCAGCCAGGGCTGCAGAGCAAGTTTGTTTTCCTTTTTCAGTCTTTAAGGAGGTATGACATGTATATAAGGGTCCATTCCATGATGCACTTTTAGATGTTCACACTCATGTAACCACCACCCAGATCCAGAGACAGAACACGTCCAGCACCCCACGGGGCTCCCACGTGCACCTCCCAGCCATTACTCCCAGGGGTAACCACTGTGTCAGAGACTGGTTTTTGGAGTACAGGGGTCCTGGCTTGGCTCAGGGGCCCCAGCAGTTCTGGGCAGGATGCCCCAGCTATCTTCACCATCTCTGTGCGTCCCATGCAGATACGACGTCGACTCGAAGAGCCCTGATTTATCCAAACACGTGAGTTTTGCCAGCGACTGCCCAGAGGTTCTGAACATCTCTTAAATGCCAAGGTCTGGGTCGGCCCCGGACTTCACCGTGACACAGACTGTGTGTCTGATGCTGCCACCTGTCATTTCAGAGCCCTCGTACTTCTAGGGATGGGGTGATGGAGGAGGTGGGGTGGCTGTGGGCAGGGTGGGCGACACTGTTTTTTTTCTGTTCCCCGGGTATGCAGGATTTTCTGGGCCAAGCCTTCTGCACCCTCGGAGAGATTGTGGGGTCCCCTGGGAGCCGCCTGGAGAAGCCCCTCACGTAAGTGTAAAGGGGTGGGGGGCCTGCCTGGGTTGCTTCCCCAGCGATGGGCCAACTTTCCAGCCTCCCTTGGCTCAGGGTAGGGGCAAAGCAGTCAGCCAGTCATGCAGGCTGAGGAGGAGTAAGGA